TTTATCATTTAAAAGAAACTTTGAAAAATACAATGTTTTAGGAAAAAAAAATACATGTATACGTAAAAGTACCGTGGTATATCAAGTGACAAAACAACTTCCAAAACACATGAAATTTTGAAAAAAAAACAAGAAAACACAAAAAGATCCTTGTAATATAAGTAAAAAACATGTATCATTTAAAAGAAACTTTGAAAAATACAATGTTTTAGGAAAAAAATACATGTATACGTAAAAGTACCGTGGTGTATCAAGTGACAAAACAACTTCCAAAACACATGAAATTTTGAAAAAAAAACAAGAAAACACAAAAAGATCCTTGTAATATAAGTAAAAAACATGTATCATTTAAAAGAAACTTTGAAAAATACAATGTTTTAGGAAAAAAATACATGTATACGTAAAAGTACCGTGGTGTATCAAGTGACAAAACAACTTCCAAAACACATGAAATTTTGAAAAAAAACAAGAAAACACAAAAAGGAAACGGCGGTGGTGTTACGGAGGAAGCAGTGGTGTTACAGATCTGGTGGTGATAAATACAGAGGAGGCGATGGTATTACAGATCTGGTGGTGGTTAATACGGAGGAGGCGGTTGTGGATGTCGGATTCACACACTCAAGTATTTTTGTTAATAGGGAAGATTATTCTTGAGGGACAAAAAATAAGAATGTAAAAAGCTTATGAATTGCTACAAAAATTGCTATAGTATTTCTTGCTTTGAAGAAAAGGTCCCCTTTACATGGTCATTGGCCTCTATATTTATACATAGAAAAAAGACATTTAAATGGCTAATTAAATACAATTATTATCTTTTAAATGCGTCCGTTTTGATCTTTTGACTTTAATGCTTAACGTTTGAATTTGAGTTGACTCTGATCTTCATGGGCCTCGCCTTTTGCCCCAAGTGTTCTTGAACCGACTTACCCGTGTCTTCTACACCGAACTCATGTGGAAGCGCAGTCACTTCGGATTCTCGAAGTGGTGATAGCCACTTCGACCGTTCCTTCGGCTCACGGGTCCAATGGGCTTTATCCTTTATGGGCCATTATCTTGACTACGTGGCAATCTTTGGTTGGTCTCGGACTTCTGGCGCGGGATCCGACACCAACAATTAGCCCCCCAAGTTCTTCGAAGTGCTATTCCAATTCGGAGGACTTTAAATGCTCAAGTGACCAAAGATTGCGCTCGAGAATCTTTCTGATTTCCCGCCGAAAATCTCATCACTCCTTTAATTTTGGCACTAGCCATTTTTTAACCGAGTGACATCTGTCATCATTATGACCGTATATTGATTAATTACTATTAAAACGGGAAAAAAACCTTCCCACTCCCCACACAACTTCCGAGGCGGTTCCATCATTTAGTTTGTGTAAGGTAACTTCTTTTCATCATCATTTTCTACTTTTATGCTTTAATCGAAACTCCTCTCTTCTCTTTCCTCGCCGATTTTCTCTTTGCCGAAACTTGAATTTTTCATTCCTCCGAATGACTTCTGATTCCGATAGACCCGAGTCTCTGTCTTTCGATGAAAGGCGTTCTAGTAATGACGAGTGCACCCGCCCTAATGATATTGCTGGTCCGCACTACAGAACCACTTGCACCCTTCAATCTCTCGAACGATTGAGGGAGCTCTGCCGAATTCCACCGGGAATTATGGCGGAGGCGCAGATAGCCGATCCCACAGAGTCCCCAGAAAGCCATCGCGATGGTTACTTCTGTGTGTACGAGATTTATTTCAAGGGTTGCGGATTAACCTTCCCGCTTTCCGAAGCCCTGGTTCGGTACTTGGCGGTTCTCGAGATCGCTCTTCCTCAATTAACCCCCAATCTTCTCCGAACCATACTTGGAATTATAACAGTAGCGGCAGAAGACAGGATATTTCTCGGTATACCCTAATGCTAACAGGAACGTCATTTCACATCTTCCAAACAAGGATGAAAATTGGCATCACCCTTGGTTCCTGATTAAGAAAACCCCTGCTTCGATTGGAAGTCTATCAGATTTACTCCCATCGAAGTGGTCCGCGAAACCTGGTAGAAATTAGGTCGCATACATCTTTTCCGGTTGTTTTATTATCTTTATTGACTGAAACCGTTGTTTCATTTCGCAGCTTTCATCGCTTCCACTCTCCCATCTGAAGAGTTCATCGAATTCTTCAAAATAATTCTCGAAGGGGAAACCCTTTGGAATTCTTTCACTCTTGAACGATTCCTAGAAGCTAACCACAGACTCAGGATGAGTCCACCGGGTCAACTTCACCAACTTCCGCCTCCTCCCTCAACTCAGGGGATGTCATCTCGGGCCCTTGCGGCCAAGCGTAAGGTGCTTTCCAAGCCGATGGCTGAGGCTTGCGAGGAGAAGAAAAGGTTTCTCGCGACTTCTATAGATAAGAAGGACTACAGTAGGACCCTGCTGGTTGATGATGGCAGCACCGAAGGAGCCAGATCCGTTACTTCTTTCAGATTAACTCCTCGTCGCGATCGTCGTGACTCACATTCTCCTCGGAGGGACCGATCTCCTCGCCGTGATTCACCTCGTCCTCCCCAAGATGATTTTAGCAACGAACCACTTAAGAACTTGGTTCGCCGGAAGAGAGACAAGTCCTCTCGTAGTGATTCTTCCCCGCGAAGGGAAAAGTCAAGGGCCCGGACTGATTTCACCTCGATCATCCCCTCCTACTGAACCAATGGGTCCTCCACGACCGGTTGATATGTCTTCCTCTTCCCAGCCCGACAGTGAAAAGACTGCCCGGAGCGCATCTCCAAAAAAGGGAGATTCTGAATCTCGAGATGCTTCCTCGAGGTTAAAGCCTGCTCTTGTCCCTCAAGTCAAATCGCTTTCAGGTTTGGTGGTCTACAAAGTCTTAAAAGTTTTTGTCTCTATTCAGATTCCGATTTTTACAACTCTTCTTCCTTCGCAGCTATGGAGAAGGAAGGCAGCGTTTTCCGATGCTTCAAGACCCGATCGGGTTCGATCTTGCCAGACTTCGACAAGTGACGCCCTGCAATTCGTGAACGCTATTTGCTTCATGCTCATCATTCATCCCGGGTTAGTTCCGCTTTATTTTTCTGATTATGCTGCCGTTCATCGAAATGACTCACCATCCCGATTTCATGCATAATGGCAGGCTAATGGTGAACTTAATGACATGATTGAACATTATGAGGGGCTGGTCCTTGGTCGGGAAAAGGAGATTGACGCGTGGAAGAAAAAACTTTCTGCTCTTGAGGCCGAACTTAGCTCTTCTACCGGCTCCAAGCACGATCTGGAGGAGAAGGTCGACTATCTAACATCTGAGCTGGTGAAGATAAAAGGGGAGCTGCAGGACCAGTACGACCAGAATTTCAAACTCCACGATGAGCTTTCTGGTGTTCAGGGTAGGCTTCACGAATCCGAATCAACCGCTGATACCCTGAACAACCAACTTATTGAGCTTAACGCGAAGTATAAGGCGATCGCCAAATTGCGTGATTCTGAGTTGGCGATGTCGGCATCGAAAGCCAGAAAGGAGGTTAAGGGACGCGGGATGGAGTTGATCCAAGGAGCCATCCGCTTCATTCAAACCTAGAAAGCTAGGTCAGATCTGGAGTCAGACATTAAGGAGCATGAGAGCAATCTGATTTTGTTGGATCAAATCCATGAAACAGATTTCTCCGAGGTACAAGAGAGGACCGAACTGTCGGCTAATCTTTCTGAAAAGCGGAGTCGCTTGGCAGCTCTTCCTACTTCGACCTTCAACCCGCAGGACTTCGAGGAATTCTTCACTGAATCGCCTCCTATAAGTGAATCGGGTCTAGACTGGGCAGGTAACGCTTGGCTCCTGACTCTTACTACCTTTTCCTCACCTTATGTTTTTAAAATTGACTAGGACTGCCCTTCCCAGGCTCAAGTGAGACGGAAGATGTCGTCCCACCCGAAGTTCCTGCTGCACTGGAGGTCACTCCGGAGGATGGTTGTAATGTAGAGGGCGGACCAAGAGCTCCATCTGACCAAGCACCAGTCAAGGAGGTGAATGAAACTTCGGTTGCTGAGCCGGAGTCCGAGGTGGATATCACTCCGTAGTGGCTGCGTCCACTTTGAATTGGGAATTGTCCTATTTATTTTAAAACTTAATTTCGAACTTGTCTTTGCCTAAGGAGGCTTTATTATTTCTTTTGAACAAGATATTTGCCTAAGGAGGCTTTTAAACCTTTCTAGGTTTTGACCCCAAGGGAGTTCGGTTAAAATTATGTGCGGGTTTGCAAAGTCCGCTTTTAACCCTTTGTGGCCTTGTGGTTATGCTTTTGAGATTTTTAGGCTGATCAGACCTTTCTCTTAAGAATGCGAGAACTGAGCTCGGCTTAAAGCGAGTTCCCCACTTCGGGTTTAGTAAACTCGGTAAATTTATTGGGCTTGGGCCTTAGAAACTTTTGTAGTTAATGCGACGGTTGCTCTTTCCCTTCTTATTTCTTAAAAGTAGGAAAACGGCTCGTCTTTAATACAATAACTGCCTTTTCTCGATTTTCCAAAAATGGTTTAAACCACTCGGGCACACTATCATTATTGGATTTATGGTTCCAAGATAAACCCTAAACCATTATAAATAAAGGCTTACCTACCTCTAAGCTTTCTTTAAATACGATTTTAGAATCTTACTTGAGAAATATTACGAGAATGGAAAACGAAAAAGTAGCCCCCATTGATCCTGGCAGCCCACTATTCTTGTCCGGCGACGGCTTTGAACTGCCCGACGTTCTTTTCCCTCACGCCGTCTTTCACTTTCCTTCAAAGGAGAAGAAAGAGGCTTGCGACTTTATTGACAAGGTTAATATTTGTCATCTTTGATTAAAAGCTTTTTGTTTCATCTTATTCATTCATCTTTATGCTAGGTTGCTGACAAACACCGTCGCTTGTGTGAAGAGAGGCAGCGGCTAGGCCTCAAAAAGCAAACACTCGAGGCTCGCATTGCTCGGGTGGAGAGAAAGATACGGGCTTTGGAAAGTGACCCCTTTCAATGGGAATGGCGGAACTTCGATTCTGTTGCTGAGTTCCCGAAGATGCTTCGGATGTATCTCCGTGCTAGAGGAGTTCCGGGTCCTGTGAATGCTCCGGTCCATACCGTTCCATCTGATAGCGAGGAAGAAGACGAAGAGGAGGCCAGCACCAGTCGGAAACGCGTTCGGGATTGTTCCGAGGTGGACGCCAAGAACAAGGCGTCCACTTCGAAAACTAAAACGGCGATGAAGGAGACTGTTCCTAAGCCTCTTCCATAAATGTTCTCTAACCTTTCCACTCACTTTGAACTCATAATGGGCTTCGGCCCTTTTTTATTTATGGAAACATTTGCAACTTTCCTTTCTCTTCAAATATTCTCGGAGATGCGTCTTTTAATGCAGGATTGGTTTAAGGGCATAAATCTCGCCGCGAATCACTCCATTTCCGGGCTGAATCTGCTGCTTGCTAGGGACATGAAGTCCCTATAAATTACAGCTTCAACTTCCTTTTATTTCTCACTATTCTTCTCACTTCTGCAGATATGGATTTTAACCTTCGATGTTCGGAGTCTATGTCGGACTTCTCTAGGATCGGAATGATGGACGAAGATGTTCCAGATGTTCCAAGTAGACGATCTTCTCCACTTCGCGGCTTTTTCAGATCTCAGATCCGAGCTCCATGCGCTTTGATCAAGAACCTTCCAGATAGAGACCGGGAGATTGCGATGGCCTTTATCAAAGCGCTGGCATTTCAACACAGGAAGCTATCGTTAGAAAAGAAAAAACTTCGGAAGAAGATTCATCGAATACAGCGCAGGGTCACTGCGATATCAAGGGATCTTCACATCCTTAATTCTCACCCCGGAGAGTGGATTGAGCTCGGAATCTCCGAATTTGCTCGTATCCCGGATTGTATGATGCCAGTTCTTGATCTTGCTGGTCAAGGAGTTCAAGTATTCTGCTCTTCGGGAGGGTTTTCCTAACTCGAAGTGTGCGAAGATCGACACTTTGTCTTGTTCGTTTGAATAAATGTTTTGCTTCCAATCTCTTGTATGTTCGCATAGCCGAACCTTTACTTAAATACAGAAATAAAACAAATTTTTATTAATAGCTGAACTCGTTTCCGAGCTGCCTACGTACCCATTTCGGGATCAAGCCACACCGTAGTTCATGTACATAAAAAATGCATGTAGCTTTAAACATAAAACTTCTTTAGGTTGATCACATTCCAAGGTCGCTTGACTGGCCTGTTTTCTAAGTCTTTCAATCTATAAACACCGTTCCGAACCACTTCGGTAATAATGTAAGGTCCTTCCCAATTAATACCAAGTTTACCGGCACCTTCTTCTTTTTTGTTGTCAAAGACACGCCTTAACACATAATCTCCCACGAAGAACGGCCTAATTTTAACTTTAGAATTGTAATATCGGGCTGCTGCCTGCTGGTAATTCTGAATCCGAATCAAAGCTTGATCATGCCTTTCATTTATGGTATCTAGTGAATCATTAAGCATTGCTGAATTTTCTTCCTCATTTAATGGTGCTTCTGTTCGGCGAAGTCCGGGCACGTTGAGTTCAGCTGGTACTACTGCCTCCATGCCATAAACCAAAGAGAATGGAGTTCTCTGGTAGGTCGCCTAGGGGTTGTACGATAGGCCCATAGGATGGGTTGGAGTTCTTCGTACCATCCTCCCTTTAGATGATTTAATCGTTTCTTGAGATTGTTCAATATCGTCTTGTTCGCGGCTTCAGCTTGACCGTTTCCTTGCGGATATCGTGGTGTAGAGTAACTGACTTTGATTCCCCAGTCCGCATAAAAGGCATCAAACTCTTGTGAAATGAATTGTGGCCCGTTATCGTTGACTATTTCATACGGAACTCCATGTCGACATATAATATTCTTCCAAATGAAAGTCTTTACCGCCGAATCCTTGATGCCAACATATGCCTCAGCTTCAATCCATTTCGAAAAGTAGTCCGTCAAGACCAAAAGGTATTGTACACCTCGAGTTGATCTGTGCAATGGTCCAATGATGTCCATTGACCACCTCATAAACGGGTACGGGGCGGAGATGGAAGAGAATAACTCCGAAGGTTGATGGATCAATGGTGCATGGAGTTGGCAGCGCTTACATTTTTGGGCAAATTTAACACAATCCGTGATCATAGTGGGCCAATAGTATCCCATTCTTTTAACTTTAAAAGCCATAGCTCTTCCTGATGAATGACTCCCACATAATCCTTCATGCACTTCGCTCATGACGATTTCGACTTCGGGCCCAAAAATGCATAATAGGTAAGGGTCACTGACACCTCGTCTATATAACGCATCCTTTGATAGACAAAATTTCGCGCTAACGATTTTCATTTTCCTGGCCTGCCACTTATTCTTTGGGAGCTCACCTGTCATGATGTAGTGTTTTATTGGCTCTCTCCAGTCAGCCCCCCAGTCTTTAGCCGGAATTTGGTCAACCTTGTGAAATACTCGTGGCTCTGGCTCGGGATGTTCGTTTGGTTCAAGAACGTCCTCCTCGATTAACAGCTCGGTTTCTAATATCGTTTCTGGAATCACATCTTCTGCTAAGACAACGGATTCCTTGTTAGATGTGTTTGATCCCCTTGACTTCCTCCGTTTGTTGGGCGGAGGTTCGATCTCTGGTTCGCCACGGTCACGTGCCGCTGCTCGAGACCTTGTAACGACGAGGGTTTCTTTGTTGTCTTGAATGCTTCGCTCCGAAATGCATTCCACTGGAATAACTCTTTTCAACTCAGGATCTGATGTTGACGCCAATGCGGCAAGTGCGTCCGCAGTTGTATTCTCCCCCCGAGGTATGCGGATTAATTCGAATTTCGAGAAATTTTTAGATAGATCATTCACCACTTCGAGGTACGCTTCCATTCTTGAGTCTTTGGCTTCATAGTCTCCATTAAACTGGTTAACTACTAACTGCGAATCGCAATAAGCCAATATTTCCTTAGCTCCAACTCCTTGTGCCAATCGAAGTCCGGCAATCAGGGCTTCGTATTCTGCCTCGTTGTTGGAGGCATTGAATAACAATCGGAATGACTGTTCTAGAATTTCTGATGTTGGAGACTCCAACTTGATTCCCACTCCGGATCCTTGCTTTGTTGAAGACCCATCTACATGTAATTTCCAAGTTTGGTTCTCCGGTTGCTCTATCGTTCCAGGTATTGGTAGCTCGGTCAAGAAGTCTGCTAAAACCTGAGCCTTCATACTGATCCGGCTCTTGAATTCTATATCGTACTCGCTTAATTCCACCGCCCATTTCGCCAAACATCCGGACTGACTTGGACTATGAAGTATTGTTCGGAGTGGCTGGTTGGTTAATACTTCAACCGGATGGGATTGAAAATATGGGCACAGCTTCCGGGCCGAAGTCACCACCGCGAGTGCGAGATTTTCCATCATTGTGTATCTGGTTTCCGGATCCGTCATTGACTTGCTTACGTAGTAAATTGGTTTCTGTTCCCCGCGGTCCTCCCGAACCAAGACTCCACTAACCGCATGGTTTGAAACCGACACGTACAAATAAAGTTTTTCATCTGCTTCTGGTTTGGAGAGTATAGGTGGAGTGGTTAAGTATGCCTTAAGCTGCCCAAAAGCTTCTTCACACTTCTCGTCCCAAAGGAATCCTTTGTTTCCTTTTAGAATTTGGTAGAAAGGTAATGACTTATCTGTTGATCTTGAGATAAAACGATTCAAAGCCGCAATCCGCCCAGTTAACCGTTGTACTTCCTTGAAGTTTCTTGGAGATGGCATATTTAGAAAAGCGTTAATTTGATTTGGATTGGCTTCAATCCCTCTTTCTGTCACAATATAGCCAAGAAATTCTCCGGATGGGACTCCGAATGTGCACTTCGCCGGGTTCAGCTTCATTTGATATTTATTGAGAATATCAAAACATTCCTCTAAATGCTTAATGTGATCCTCTTTCTTTAATGACTTAACCAACATATCATCTATGTAGACTTCCATTGTCTTCCCGAGATGATTATGGAACATTTTGTTAACCAACCGTTGATAAGTTGCTCCTGCATTTTTCAAACCAAAAGGCATCACCTTGTAACAATAGATACCTCTATCAGTGATAAATGACGTTTTTTCTTGGTCTTCGGGGTTCATCATTATTTGATTATAACCCGAGAAGGCGTCCATGAATGTTAACAGCTCGTTCCCAGCGGTGGACTCTACAAGTCGATCTATATGTGAGAGCGGGAAACTGTCTTTAGGACATGCTTTATTGAGGTCTGTGAAGTCGATGCAAACCCTATCTTTTCCATTCTTCTTCTTGACAAGACAGTGTTTGCTACCCACTCCGGGTATTGCACTTCTCTTATGGACCCTATTTTCAAAAGTTTATCTACTTCGTCATTTACTATTTTTGCTCGCTCCACTCCGAGCTTTCTTCTTTTTTGTTTCACCGGCTTGAAGCTTGGATCCACGTTCAGTTCATGACAAATTATGCTTGGATCTATGCCGGGCATATCTGTCGCTGACCATGCGAATGATGTTATGTTTTTTTTCAAAAGTTCGATCAAAGCTTCTTTTATTTGGCCAGTCAAAGTTGTCCCAATTCGAATTTTCCGGTCCGGTTTGTCTTCTTCCAACACCACTTCAATTACTAGAGCATCATCATGAGGTCTTTCGAGGTGCCGCGTTTCTTCTTCATTAAATGATATTGATGCACCTTGAAAATCGACTTCTTCGCTCAAGCTTGCTTTGAGTAGGACATTTCGTCTATGTTTCTTGATGGAACTTATTGATTCTCGACAAAATTTGGAACCTCCTAGAATAACATTGATCTTACCCTTAGAATTCCTTGGTTCTTCCTCGTTGGTTAACCTTGGTCTTTTGGAATTTTGATCTTTGGAATTTTCCTTTGCTTCGTGGTATTCCTTCACAAAATCTTTTATATCGAATTTGGAAAGATCTCCACTGGCCCAAAGCTCTGCGAGGTGCCTTTTAAGAACGCTACAATCCTTGGTTAAATGTCCGGTCACTTTATGAATGTCGCAATATAAACTTTCATCACGGACCCAAGTGTTTGATCTTCTTTTCCCTTGGAATTGCTTTCCGACGGTACTGTTGAAGGGTTGCGACCCAAATTTCTTTGGTCCTTTGTTCTCCCTGGGTTCGAACTTTTTGGTAGGGACGGTGATTGCCGGCTTCTCTTGCTTATTTCTTTTGGCAAAACTTTCTTTTTCGTCCTCTACCTCCATCCAGTTGTTTGCGCGGAAGAGTGCATCCTGAATTGTGTCTGGTTTATGAAGTATTAAATCTTCTTTAAATCTTGAATCATGTCGCAATCCTTTTCGTAAGGCAGATAAAGCTGATTGTTATGAGATTCTTGGGAGCTTTGACAGCACTCCTTTGAACTTGGTGATGAAAACTCGAAGTGATTCATTTGATCCTTGTGATAAGTTCCAAAGATCGGCATCCGAAACGCTTTTATCCATAAGGATGGAATATTGCTTTAAGAATACAGCTGATAGCTCGTCGAAATTGTTGATCGAACCCGGCTCTAATTGGGTGAACCACATTAAAGCTTGGCCGCATAGGTTTTCCGAAAAAAAGCTTGCAGTAACCTGCATCCTCATCAGCTTCATCCAATTCGACTCTTCCAGCAGCGATCAGAAAAGCTGCGAGATAGCTCTTTGGATCCTCCAATCCGCTGTAAGGGTCCAACTTGAGCTTCCGGGAATCTTTGATTCTCAAACTCGCGATTCGCGAGATGAAAGGTGTTCGCCTAGCTTCTTCAATGACTCGATTGATATCCGGCTCCGAACTTGTAGCCTGATGGAACTTTGACTTCATTTCTTTTAGTTCTTGGCTAACCTTCCTCATAGTCTCGAACTGGTCGAGGTTTTCCTGCTCGTACTGATCTGCAAGTTGAGCTTCATCTTCGAGCTGTGCCTCTCCATCCAATGGCTGAACTACATTATTAGTAGTACCAGGAGTTGTTTATCCGCTGGTTTATTTCGCGCAACGGAATTTGGCGAGTTGAGTATCCTCCTTCGGATTCCCACAGGATTTCCTGCACTTAAAGAGCGAACACGAGTTTGTATAGTATTGACGTTTTGACTAAGAGATACCTGGGATGTTTGCAACGTATCGACAGCCTTTTCCACATCCGAGAACTTTTGTGATATGTCTGACATGGTTTGCTGCATAGCTTTGAGGGTTTCGGCCAATGATGTCTCAACGGCATCTCCTCCGGACATTGCTGCTTATCTCGGGAATGTAGTAAAGAAAAATCTGACCACTCAAGAATCCTCTGTCCCCACAGACGGTGTCAAAATGTGGATGTCGGATTCACACACTCAAGTATTTTTGTTAATAGGGAAGATTATTCTTGAGGGACAAAAAATAAGAATGTAAAAAGCTTATGAATTGCTACAAAAATTGCTATAGTATTTCTTGCTTCGAAGAAAAGGTCCCCTTTACATGGCCATTGACCTCTATATTTATACATAGAAAAACGACATTTAAATGGCTAATTAAATACAATTATTCTCTCTTAAATGCGTCCGTTTTGATCTTTTGACTTTAATGCTTAACGTTTGAATTTGAGTTGACTCTGATCTTCATGGGCCTCGCCTTTTGCCCCAAGTGTTTTTGAACCGACTTACCCGTGTTTTCTACACCGAACTCATGTCGAAGCGCAGTCACTTCGGATTCTCGAAGTGGTGATAGCCACTTCGACCGTTCCTTCGGCTCACGGGTCCAATGGGCTTTATCCTTTATGGGCCATTATCTTGACTACGTGGCAATCTTTGGTTAGTCTCGGACTTCTGGTGCGGGATCCGACACCAACAGCGGTGGTGTTACAGATCTGGTGGTGGTGGTTGCCGTAAGACAAGTGACAAAACAACTTCCAAAACACATGAAATTTTGAAAAAAGAAAACAAGAAAACACAAAAAGATTCTTGTAATATAAGTAAAAAACATGTATCATTTAAAAGAAACGTTGAAAAATACAATGTTTTAGGGAAAAAATACATGTATACGTAAAAGTACCGTGGTATATCAAGTGATAAAACAACTTCCAAAACACATGAAATTTTGAAAAAAACAAGAAAACACAAAAAGGAAACGGCGGTGGTGTTACGGAGAAAGCAGTGGTGTTACAGATCTGGTGGTGATGAATACAGAGGAAGTGATGGTATTACAGATCTGGTGGTGGTGAATACGGAGGAGGCGGTGGTGTTACAGATCTGGTGGTGGTGGTTGCCGTGAGAGAGGAGGCGATGGTGGATACGAATGATTAAATGGAGGTGAAGGATCTGGTGGTGGTGGTGGTTGCCCTAAGAGAGGAGGTTATGGAGGCTTCGGTTGTAGACACATCAACAAGCCTGGATTCGTCATCTACAACCCTTAAAGGAAATTCCCATATCTCACCTTTACAGTTTTCATGTACAGAAAAATGACAAAATTGAGGGTTAGTAAAGAAAAACTTAAAAGAAACCAATACTTAGATCTGGAGGAAATCGGTAACAAACCTATGTAGGATACTTAGACAAGTATATATGGGAAGAAGAAGACGAAGACAGAGAGAGAAAAGCAAAAACCCAGGTCTCCACTTTGCAGATGAGTCGACTACCACTTGATTGGAGATGAAACGGATTCAGATTCGCAGGATTGACGAGAGCCACCAAAAAACTTCTTCCTCAAACGGCGCTAGGGTTTTCCAGCGTTTTTAATGGGTATAATAGCAAGATATATTTATAATTTCTAATTATAATGTTTGCCTATACTCTTCGGAAATATTCAAAATTCAAAAAAACTATAATCATTACTCTCTCAAATAGTATGTCTCCTCTATGTCTAAGGATACAAAAGTAATTATCATATGGTTTCCGACAAAGACTATTCACCCATGGCTATTTTCTTAATTTTTTTTGAATCCATGGCTAGTTACTATAAATTCTCTTGTTTTTAAGGCCTATTAAAATAGCTAACGCTAATTGAAATTTGTTGGGTAAAGGTAAATTTTTATATTCATCCTCTCTTTTTTAAAACTAATTTAAATTTGTCATTGAAAAATTAATATTCATTTAATTGTAAAATCTGGATCTATCTACACAATAATCAGAAGCTATGGTGTTATCTTAAGTGAACCAAATCAATAAATAAGGTTCAGATACTGACACACTGTATTTGTAAAATGACATTCCAGAGAACATTAAATACCTTTGCACTAGGTTGATTAAGAGCAACCACAATGGTTGAAACAAGTTATTGAGTTTCTTATAAATTAAATATTAAATTTTTAATATTAAAAAAAAATGAACCACTAAAAGATGGACAAATGGAAGAAGAGTTTCTAAAATACCTAACAATGTACCTTAAATAAGAAACATCTCTAGTTCTCTCTCTTCTTTTTGTATTTCTTTTTAATATTATAATCTTAAGAAACCTTCATAGGACCACCATTGTGGTTGCTCTAACAGGGCAGAGTGCAGATTCAGCCATTTGTGCGAACAAGTACGGGGACTGAGCCATTTGTGCCACGCACTCTTTAGCAGATGATATACACTGTGGGCTTGAAGGTAGCTGGTGGCTAATAGCTGCAAATTAACCTATATAAAGAGGTAAAGTCAGAAAGTGAAGGTTCTCAACCATTATCGGAGCTGTATCAACCCAAATATCTACAAGGTTTTGAGGTATTCCCAGAGAAACAAGCAACAACAAACATATCAAGTTGCGTGGCTAGGTAACATACCTCCATTGAAGAATGGATTTGATCCATTAAGTAACAAGGGTACAACATCAATCAAGGAGCTTCAAGTTTCTTCAAAAAATGGATTCGTACTCTTCCTGGTCTAGAATTGTTGAAGAAGCTCTAGATGTAACACCATCGTGTCCCAAGCTAAAATCAAAAACTCAAAACGTCAATGTATCTACTAAAAATAACTCAATTAACGATCGATTAAAGCACAACGAAGCTTAAAATTGAAGCAGATCTTTCTCAATTTACTGAAATTAACCAGAGAAAATCTTGGGTATTTTTTCAAGTTCATCGGAAATATACAAATTAACTAACCAGAAGCGTTGCCATGTAAAAGAATCGCCGAATGTTTCCTCCTCCTCTTAGTCTCCGTCTCTGCGGCATCGTTTCGTTAAGGCGTCGTTGATAGAAAGCAAATCGAAGATTAGATCAATTTGAAGATTCCGATGGCCGGAATCGATTTTGCTGGGGGGAGAAGACGGCAATATTTTTGCTTGCTACTTTTGGAATCTCTTTTTTGTTTCATTTATGATATAGGAGGAATAACAAGTGGGGACTACACACAGATACTAAACAAAGAAAAAGAAAAAAAATACAATAAAAGGAACAAAACAAAGCCAACGAATAACATAGCGACAGCCGCTAGCGACAGACAAACGAACAATACATGTTGTCGTTGGTTACTTATCGATGTCGCTGGTCGCTATCGCTGAATCCGCGAAAGACAAACGAACATGGCCAATATATATTTTTTCTCACATAAACCCTATTTAATACTATCATTATTATATATATACACAGCACTACGTATATAAAATATTTCTGATAATAATTTCAACATTATCCTAATCTCGGTATATTTTGTTGTTATAGGTTGTCAAAAATTGTTGTGTTTCCCTTCATAATATCAAGATATATATATATATATATATATATATATATATATATGTTTTAGATACTATTTGTTTTTTTAATCATAGATTTTCTCTTATCTACATTATATTTATACACTAGATCATGAGTCGTACTATAGTAGTACGGGTTAAATTTTGTTCAGTACAATATTTTATATATTATATATTTTAGAGTAAAGTTTTGATATAGTATAGTAGTAAGTGAAAAATATATTTCTTTTTTTAAGTACATATATATAATTTTTATAATAAATATATTTTTCTTTTTATATAATACTTAATTATGGATAATTTTTCTTAAGATATGAAAACGGAAAGTAATATTATTTAAAAAAATTTAATATTGTTTGAACAATGAGTTACTTTATGTTAACAACCACAAAATGATATTGCATATAATTCAGTTCGAACAAAAATCAAAATTTCATAAATGAGTCGCATCTTAAACGTAGATTATTTTGAATTAATTAAGGAAGTTAACTATTATTTTGAATTAATTTAAGAAGTTTATTTTCAATTTGTAATTCTTTAGTTGTTGAAATATAAATTTTTTAGCTAATTATGGAATTTAGCAATTATTCGCATAGTCGAATATATTATGAACATATTTTTGGTATATAATAATATCAAATTCAACCCGTGCGTGAAGTATATTTTCATTTTAGAATCTCAATGAAAAAATTGCGTGCACATTCCATCATTCGTTATTTTCAAAATTGCTTGCAGAATCAAATTTTAAATATTTAGAAGTGTCAAACCTTATTTAATCATCTCATCATATAATCTTAACATGCTATATGTTATAAGGATCATAACAATTTTTATCATATAATACATTATATTTAACTCATTGCCTGCTATAAATATTTTAAATATATCTGTTTCAACATGCTATAAATATTTTAAATATTTTAAATAAAATTATATGAATTAAATATAAATATTCAAATAGTTATAAGGATCATAACTCATGTCATCATATAACACATTAAATTCAACCTGCTGCCTATTATAAATATTTTTAAATATATGTTTTAAAATTAATAATGTATTTTCGTTTTATAATTAAATTAAATTAACTAAACTGCATAAATTAGTATTTGACTTGTTTATCTTTAACTAGATGAATTAATTTACTCTTTGAAATTTTAACTCTAATGGATTTCTTATGTAATATCTTACAAAGGATTTAATGTTTTTCCCAAATAATAGTATAGGATGCAAATTTAAATATTTGACCGAAACAAATGTTTTGAAGACTTCAACTTATATATATATCTATCTCCTTCGTAGTTGTATAATCACCACACCCGAACTTCTTTATGTGTGATGTGTCTTCTTTTCTACATATCTCAGAAGCCACTAACTGATATGATATCAAACAAAAGGCACCAAATAGTAGCCATGTTTAAATCTATATTTATATATATATAAAGTTGAAACTATTCTGAAATTGTACATGTGTGATGTTAACAAAGGAATTAGTTAAAGACCTATTAAGAAGTATATGATTTATAACAGATAATCTACTTAACATTTTTGAAGTACAAATTTGCTCCTCTAATCGGGTCGGGATTTTTTTCTGATTTTGACCCGAAAATCTTCAATCAGATCTTTCCTTAAATTATGGCAAAATTTAAAAACGAAAATACCTAATAAAATCTAAATTATATATATTTTCTCAACTAATTACTATATTTAAACTATTTATTTATGGTATATTCTTTACAATTTTTATAGATTAGGAAATCAAATATGATAATTTAATGATAATATAACAAATTTGAGCTAATTTTCTAAAACCTCTTTACCTAATTTAAACATAAATATATGATTCTCATTTCACTTTTATTTGATATTATATTTATATTATTTTGAATTATTATAAAATATATATAGTTAATAATTTTTTTTTTCTGCATATGTTATGATTTGAATTTTTTTAAACAGACATATATTACTCAATCGATGAAGAAAAAAAGTATGTGTGTAATCTATATTAACATTTTTTAAGAACAAATTGCACATTTAATCGGGTCGTTTTTTTTATTCTGATCCGAAATTGAATCATTCAGATCTTTTCTTAATTTCTACAATTATCTAAAACAAGACAGTATACCACGGGTGAGATCCTAAAATTAACAAATCAAAATACAATTATTTAGTATTTTAAGATACAATTATAAATTGTTTTTACGGGTTGGTCCAAAAACACATACTAATTTTAAAATATATATATTATGAAAACCATTTGAAAGTAAACTTTTAAATTGATTCGAATTATATATCTTTTAAATAAAAGTGTTATTAAAAAAATTACAAAATGATGTTTAATTCCACAGAACATGAGTATATGGTGGGACGGGTTTGGATCGATATTAATACGGGACAATATACTACGGGTGAAATCCTAAAATTAACAAATCAAAATTTAATTATACAATCTTAAACAGTAAACAAAACAAATACAACTTAAAATTTTTATTTTTTATATACAACGCATGTGTTCCACGATGTACAACAAAAAAATATCATACACAACAAATTCATCAGTTTATAAAAAATAAAAATAAAATCAAATAATTAACCCGCGGTGTACCGCGGGTCATATCCTAGTGTCGTACATATACCTGAACAAAGTCTATGCATGTACTTCATTAGTTTTACAAAGACTATATTTTTTTTTTTTTTTTTTTTTTGCTAAGAGAGTAAATATCATTAGATGAAATGTAGGTGTTACAATAGAAGACCTAGAACAAATGAACCTTGGCAAAAAGAATAAAAAACAAGGTTACATTTAGATTATAAACATTCTCAGAAAGCGGAAACAGGAGCATCCATTAGGTGAGCCAAAGCGCCATAAGGTTTTTGAATTTCTTCATCTTCCTCCTAGCTGTGATTGAGTTGATAATTTGCCGGTCAATGTCAATGAAGATGGTGAGCGGCGAGATTGAAATATTGTTGTGGAACAGGTTGTTTCGCTGCCTCCAGATCCCGTAGACTAGAGCATGGGTGATCAATAGTCGTAGTGTTTGAGGCGAGTTAGTGTTCTTGACCTTTAGCCAAGCCAATAAGGCTGCCCAGTTTGCAAATACTGTCGGAGCCAAACGCAATCTTGCGAGGCTGAGATTCCATAGTGATTGAGCGAATGTGCAATGCAGAAAGATGTGATCCCTGGTCTCCATTGAGCCAACACAAAAGGAGCAGTCAGTGGAGATTTGAAGTCC